TCTGGAATTGGGAGTTATCATGTATGGTCTTGGTGGCCATGGTAAACTCAGACAGCCGCAGGCGCTGTTCGTTCCATTCGCTTTTTTAGAACGCTTCGACTTCTTCTTCGTCATAGTTTGATGTCGGCGCGTAAACGACGATGATTGCCAAAGCCGGTATTAATCCACATCTTTTTAATCGTAAACGTCTGATTTGGGTTAGATAGACGTAGACTAAGTAAAAGATGATGGAAGATAGAGCACATGGTAAATAGAGAAAATACATTATGGTAACTAGAATGATTACTTTAAAATTTCTTTTGCAATCTTATTGTCGTTATAAAATTTTGCTGCAATAGAATTAGGCGACGGAGGGAAACAGACGCTAACGTTGATTTTTGAATCGTTCATTCCAAGATTCTCTCCTATTTGTGTATGAATGAACTTTCTCAAAGTCTGTGGAAAATCGTGGAATCGAAAGCCTATAGAGAGATGGGAGGTGCTCTTCGCTCTCATTACTAGGCGATACTTCTTGGTGGAATAAATTAATGTTTTCTTAAGCAAACACGAGGTTGTTGACATAAAATTTCTTTATTGGTGGCTGACATTTCGTCCTCTTCAATTTTTCGTCCTTTCTTTCCTTCCCTACTGAATAATGCAGATGTTAGTAGAATGTCGGCCGTGGAAATTACTTCCCAGATACCCTAAAACTTCTCCTTTAGTGTTCCCAGAAGATCGTTTCTCCTGTTTGGCTCTCTTTCTCTGAAACTCTCATATTCTCGTGGACTTTGCAAATTCTAGTTGAGTTCGGTGGTATAGGATGTGAGCTTCATGGACATAATTTTGTTGATATTGAACTACAAACCATTTTTTCACATGCACAGTCGAAATTGAATAGCGTTCTTTTTTCCTTGTTAATACTTGACATTGTAAGAACGATGGAATCAGAAAAGCAAAAGCAGTCAACCTGCCGTCTATTAACATTTAAAATCTATCACCCCTTTTAGCTCTAAATATTTAAGAAACCCACCACGATAGGCAAAGATCGCGTAAGAAAGAAACAATAAGAATATGTGCTAACGTTCTCATTACTCGTGATAGTCAGTCGTTAAGGAACTCAAGCACTCAAGAATGGTGTAACTGTACTGCTCTTAAGCTTTCGCTTTCTTAATTAGTTAGTTATTGCTTAAACAACTGGAGAGCATCTACATCGTTTGGTAGTGAAATCCACAATACTAGTGAAGTCAAGCAGAATTCGTTCCGTCTTGGAAGCAGATATTTCTGTGATTTTCCAAGCGAGCTCATCGAGGCTATACAGCATTTTCGTATGGTAACTGAGGAGCACGTAAAAATCGTTGATTTTTTCACTAAAGAATTAGACAGAGTTCAATCCAACTGCCAAAGCACAGAGCCCCTTTCTCGTCTCATAACTTCTGTTTGCAAACGTACATTCTTATAAGTACACCCTTTGCTTGCGCGTTATCCTATTGATACTACAACTATTCATCAATGTGGAAATAACCTTATCAACTACGGCATTGATTTCCTTGATTCACTTTTCTTGACAGTTTTTTAACGCTTCCCGAATCATTTTTAGACAACAGATCGGTTGACTGGTTCTGAGCGTGCTTGCATCGGGCGTAGGCATCACCTCTACTTTAAGTCGAACAGCTGTCACTTTACTTCGCTTTGCTATGATTGGGTCCTTGAACGAAGAGACCTGCGTTTCTGTGCCTATTCATACAATCACCCAATAGAGTGATTTGTTTGTTTGGTTGTTTTTTTCCCAAAGAGAAATGTCCACTTGTGCTTGCCTTCATAGGAAAGAACGATCGTAGTTATCGGATATCCTCTATCCCCTCTATTTATTTCAACAACAGTTTGAGCACTTTCTTGGGTAGTGGTTTTTAGGTCCAAAAGAGGAAAAATCGTCCGACATTTTAAAATATCGTTGCTCTTATTACCTTTGCTGAAGTCGTTGATAACAACATATTAATCAGCATAGTTTCGTTCATAATGATGGATATTCAAGAAGAAACGTCTGAAAACACTGTTCAACAAAATTATAGATACTTGCAATATTGATAATATCAGTGGTGATAGCAATAATCGATAAAAGTGACCACATGTCATTTGCATTCTCATTAATCATCCATTGACTTGTCTCGTCTCAGCGCTGATCAGTGGTGTGTTCCGCTCGCTGGAGAGCGCCACTCTTCGTTGGGCGCTCTTCTCATAATTCTTCGATGCGATTACAAATTTTGTTATTTCATTATTAATATTAGTTGAAATCACAATGTTTAACGTTTTGTTTTCTGCCTTCTATAATTTTCATGGCAGGTTACTAAGCGAAATACAACCACAACGTTGCTGAGATATTTGCAAAACTCTGGACCGCAGGTGTCTATAATTATAGAAGGCAGAAAACAAAACATTAAACATTGTGATTTCAACTACAGCCATAGCTTAACTGGGTTCTATGCCGATTTGCGCTCCCCAGATCAACCCCGCTGACGGGTGATTGCTGTGGCAAAAAGATCGATAGAAATAGCTGAGAGACGTGCGAAACAAAGGACCCGCATGGTGTGGTGGTGAACGCGTTACTCCCCGGAAAGGATAATAGCGCGTTCGTTCCCCACCATAGACACCTGCGGTCCAGAGTTTTGCAATTAATATTAGTGTTCAACTTTTATGTAATACCTATTACCTATTGTTGTAGCCTATAAACAGGAGTTAAACATTGTGATTTTGAGTACAACTTCCGCTTAACTCGGTTCGGTCTCGATTTCTGTCCCTGGATCATTCTCGTTGACAAGAGGTTGCCGATAGTACCGTTAGGGTAAAAAAGCTGTCTGAGAAGAGAAAGGCAAAGTGAGGGTTTCGCTTTGTGTGGTGGATAGCACTATGTGTTCACGGAAAGGGTAATCGCAGTCTTGAAGCGCAGCTGAGGCTACGAGTTTTGCTCATATCTTAACACCTTTCTGATTACACTACTATTGCCGTTATTATTGCTATTATTATTAATATTATTGCTATTGTGGTTATTATTATCTGTGTTCGCTTTTGAGAAAAGGACGCTAACCATCCGAGCGGGAGACTAAATGCGGCCAATTGATTTCTAGTTATCGGTCTGCTGGTGTTTTCGCTATACATATCAATACTTTGGTTTTGTTTTCTCTTTGCAATGTACAAGTATTAACACAACTCTATTGGTCATTAATTTGCTTCTTTACATCAACTTCAATCTCTATTTCCAATCCAGTTGGAAAGTGCTTCGTTCTCTTTATCGATTATCTGACGTATGAAAAAGTTAAAGGATAGAGCTCTTAGCACTGATCAATCCCTGAGGGATGCGCCATGCATTCGACTTCATTACGCATCGTTGGAGGTGATTAAATGCATATCTGGCCTTTCCAATGACTAGCGGTGGCATGCTGGTGTATCGAGCCAGTGATGCTGTGATGCTTGATTCCCAGACAAGTCTGGTACCAATTTCCCGATCCCGGAGGGATGGAAGGTTTGGTGGGCCGTGGGAGCGGAGATCAATTCCTCGTGTGTTGCAGGGCGCCTCCGATCACTGTGCCAAACGCGCCCCTAAAAAATGTGTCGTGGGATCCGAAAAGTCAGCATACTATTGTGGTATAGTAACATAGCTTGTATCCTATAGAAGATAATCTATAGATTCATTTTTTTCATCTCTACTAATAAAATCTAATAAGAGGTAAGATACGATGGTTTGATTTTAAAAGCCTCCCAACGGTTTACCGCCTCATCGTGGCTGGGAGATGTTCCTGAATGTCAGGCTGCGATGTACAACGGGGGGATTCATCACCCGGCAGGGTCTCTCAAGGTGAGAAGGAGTCCGGCCTTTCCATCAAAAAGTCAAGCTAGGAATAAGGCAATACTGGTATCAAACTAGTCTCATGGTAGCAAATCTCCCTCTGATTCACAAGGTCGGCGACTGCTTGCAGTGGTGACGACCTGGGGAGACTTTGGCCTGGTCGACCTCGGGATTCCGGGGATCCACAATGGCTAAACCAGCAAAACTCCAAAAAATAGAGATTGTGGTGGGGCCCATACAACCAGTGAGGACGGGCCACCCAAGTATCCAATTAAGTAAGTAATGCTAAAGGCTGTCATTATTTTCGAATCAACTTCATTGTTTACGGTGCAGTTAGAGCGTTATGCGTTAAAATAGCTGAAGAATCTTTAATTTCCGCTATTTCATCGTACAAATTTTAAAGAAAAAAAGAATAAAAAACAAAAAAATAATAATTTAATAATTAATAATTAAAATAATTAAAATAATAATAATTTTAAATAAAGAAATAAAATAGCACCTCGTGCTTGCTGAACAGAAGTGGAAAGATATATTCAATCAATGCTGAAGTTAATAGAAAGTCGGACTTGGGAGGTACAAATTTTATTTTTTAGAATTTTGAGCTTGTATCATGTTCATAACGGTCATCTCGGACGGTTAGAGTGCTCAAAGTTTGATGATTTTCCGATTACGGAAGTGCTCTCGTCTTTGCTTTTAAACTACTTTACTACCCACAACCTGCGTAGTACGTCATTAAGTATCTTAGAAATATTTTATTTGATTGTTCTTTTTTACCGCTCAGTACGTGCATGGTCTTGTCACTACCACGTGCAGAACCAAGCAAGCATTTCAGCTCGCTTTAGTCGAGAAATTTATACTAGAATTGACTGAGAAGCTGCCTCCAATCCATGAAGTCTGGCAAATATCTAAAGGTAAACCTGGTAATACCTTAGGACGGCTTCATCTTGATTCCAGGGATATGAAATCGGAATTCAACGATATTCGCAATGGAAAACCTTTTTACTTGTCAATTTTCTATAGTTTACTTTCTCTGCTATTCTTAATGGTGGCGTGTATTGATTAGGGAAAGTATGAAAGCAGAAAACCCTGAGCATTACGTCAAAAGGCGTCAAAATAGCCATATTCGGTACTCTAGAGTAGGTAATTTCATTTCCGCAAGAACGTTCTTCCAACCTTACAGATGCCATCAGAGAGCATCTTCGGATTCCCAAAATATCCACCGTTTCGGCTAAACAGTCCTCGTTTTCCACAAGGCACCTTTTTAGGAAGGTAGGCTGTTTTATTATTTGCCTTAGCGCTTTATAAGTTCTTCATTCACTGCAGATGTTCACCTACGATTTCTGTAACAACCTCTCATTTCTTTACAGATACCTGCATTATCTTGACGTCATTGATCCCACTACACTATTAGTATCAGATGTGAGTTGTTTCCTAACTTTCCTTAATTCCTTGGCTGAGTGCTCTCGAAAAAGCGTGCTTTCACTAAAACGATATCCACTTGTTTAATTCGCTGAGTGAGCCGCTGGCTTGGGACTGTTTTCCTTTCCTGCGCTATCGAGAAAGTCGTCCAATTGCAATGCTGGATCCAAGAAATTTTAGAACTGTTGCACGCGGCTTTATATTTCTTCTTAGTTTACATTTTCGCCGTTTGCACATTTTAGCACCTGTTATCTGAGTTCTTGAAGAAGTTTAGGTTCATGATTCCTTAAAGCTTCATCATCAGTTTGTTTAGAAACGCTTGCATGAGTGCGTTCAACTTCTGGAAAACTGGCAGAACGGTGATCACACTTCTACCGATAGGGAGCTATGGCGAGCGCAGAAAATCAAACAGGCCATTCTGCATCCTGACACCGGTGAAAAGGTGCTTCCTCCTTTCAGGATGAGCGGATTTGTACCTTTCGGCTGGATAACAGTGAGTATTCTCTCTTGTGACTTTAAGATTTTCGTTTAAATTTATATTGTACAAACACTACACATTTGTGCTTGACCAGAAATCCTTAGATTTTTCAAAGTTGGAAATTTAATCGTGAATTCATTTGTTAGAGATGAGGTGCTTGTCTGGTTTAGGTGACAGGTATGCTGTTGCCGAACCCGAGCTGGCCCACTTTACTGTTCTGGCAATGGTTGAATCAGTCACACAATGCCTGCGTGAACTATGCGAACAGAAATGCTACCCAGGTGCAGCACTTTTCCAAAATATGATCTGAAGAGTTAGTACCGAAAATGTTCATCATCGTGTGTCGCACCTAAGTTCGAGGCCGGAATATTCCTGGAGAGGGTTTGAGGAACGCCTAGTTTATACTCACGCCCACAGTTTGTGGTTCTATAAAACAAATTTTTGCTTTCTACATCTGTTATGCGTAAATCAGAGCTACGTCTCATTCACTGTTCTTGTAGAATCAAACATTACCTCCATCTAAATCGAATATCGAAAACTTGCAAATGAAGGTTTTTTGATTCTAAAATCGAGACCTTTAAGGAATAGAGGCTTTCGTGGTATCGTCATCAACCAACATCGAACCGCTTTTTTAGTTTTGGTTCACTTTTTTTTTAAATACAAGTGACATTCAATGCTAGTTTCTTCTTAAACGTTCCAAATTTCATGGCATGCCAGCCACCTGCGGTTCATTTAATCAACGTGTGACTCGACAAAGCACCAAAGACGTCTCCATTTGTCACTGTCGCTCACGGAAACCTTCCACATAACCTGTATACTTACTCATTAGCAACACGATAGGTCTAGGTCTATGGCAAAGGGGGAAGCCCAAACAGGCAACCAACGATGACTTCAAAAGCAATTTTGTGCCTTTTGGATGGGCAATTGTGAGTTCTCTTTCTCATAACCTTAGGTGTTCACAAAATTTTTAACTACATAAAAATCATCCATTCATTACACTTTGCATTTCTTATAGTAGGGGTTTTTATACACCGTTTGCTGTAAGCAAATCGTTCATGGTGCCTGCACTTCCGAAGCTGCCTATCGATCGAGAGTTCATGAATTTTACACAACGCGTAGTTGTTGATTTGATTACGGATAAAAACAAGATGTTTTGCACCTATCAAGAAGAGGCCAGTGACTTATGGAGGCTTACCTATCTATCAAGTCACCGTTTTTTTTGCGTTTTTATCTCCGTCGCAGACAACTCTGGTACCATTTTGCTGATCCCAGAAAGAAGGAGGACTTGGTGAGTTAGGCAAGAGAATCCGACAACAAAGGACCTACATAGGTCCCGTTGTTGAGAAGTCTGGAGGACGGTAGCGGTAAGCTATCGCTATACATGTGACAAACGGAGCCACTGCATGGTACGTAAGCAGTGGAAGTGCTCTAGAATATTGTAAAGTACATAATCTAGAAGTTGTAGTCTACTGACGATTCAGGGGCAGCAAAAGCAAGCAGAAGAATGGACTAGTAATAACTATTACGCCAACCATGGCTTTTTTCAAGAAATAAAACAGTATTAAACAGCATTGTAATACGTTAAAAATTAGAAGAGCATATGACAGATAAATAGGATAGTAGTACAGGGAAGATTTTCTATGATTGTGTACCTCGGGAATTGAGTGTCGCACTTTCTGTATGAGGTCCTCTATCTTTGCCATTTTTGGCGAGAAATTACCAATAGCCAGGTTATCAAGCTTTCCTGCACGCTCTATGAATAGTTATCTGTTTTCTTGTTTAGTACACACGGTTTTATTAAATACTATACTCTGTGCTCACAAAAGCCGACGGTTTGGGCGATTTTGCATTCCTCAAACTTTGTAAAGGTGAAGCTGACTGAAGTCTAATGAGATAAGCCCTTCATAACTTCAATGGTGAACCGAAGAAACCTAGATTTCGAACGAAATGGGTGGGAAATATCTTCTTCGCGCTCTCCCCGCTTTCCGTGACTCTTCTATTGAGTATTTCACTTGAAGACCAACCGCAGAGTTCACTTGAAAACGCAATGTGCCTCTCTCACATTAAAATATCAATCACTTGTGAGAAACATGCTTTGAACTTTTGAACAGCCACCAGCTTGTGTACTGCAGAGAGCAGGAGGAATGCCTGAAACTGACGCGGCAAATAGCTATTTCCAGTGGCTAGGAAACTGTAGCATTTCAGGATAGACGTGGAGGAAAACACCAAACCCAAACGATAATTCTAGCAATGATAAGTTCCACTTATCCTCCCCTTTATTCCTAACGGAGTAAATACGGCTATAAAACGTTGCTTAAGATGGCCTGGTCTAGAGAATTCGGTAACAGTAATTATAATATCACTGAGCAATCTCAGACTCCAGCCAGTTTAACTGCATAATTTTCCCTAACGGTAGAGACTATTTCGGTAATCCGGGGATGAACCGCAGGGCAGGAAGTAATGAATGCCTCGACGTCACATGTGGTCTCACACAATATCTCACACTGACATATTAATGTGGTAGAAGCATATTGCTCATCGAAATGAATGTGCGCGGTTGGTCTCCACGTCAAATACTCACTGGAAGCATTGAAAATGGTGAATTCGCGAAGAAGCTGTTTTGTTCTCAATGCGATTGAAACCTGGGTCTCGTGGTTTTTGTGTCAAGGCTATGGAGGAGTTTAGCTTATTAGAGCTTATTATGTAGTCAAACTGTTGTTTCCAGAAAGCTCGTTTTGGAAAATACCCTCGCTATACTAACGTGCCACGGATCTCCCTCATATGAGGGATCTCAAGCCGGTTAGTCGCAAGACTACGTGGCGCGTCGCCAGGTGGCGGATAGGGGTTAATCGCGGACCAAAAGCGACCTTTCCTTCCCTGAGACGCAGGTGGATCCAGGAGGTGGACTCCTGTTTCTGCCGAGCCGATTTGGCACATACTTTCTGTATTTGCTAGGCGTATTCATGCATGCGTGTGTGGGAGCGTTCTTGCTTATGCGGATTGTATTCTACAAGTTAGTTCGGCCAAAGCCTGCAATCAAGTGACACCGAAGTATATGAGAGGTAGATAGGAGTCGCCTCCAACAAATAAGCTCCCCGTCCACTCTGGGAGAGTCTGGCAAGCTACCCGTGAGTATACTGAGCACCCAAGTTCAGAGCCCAGCAAGCTATACGTGGGTATCAAAAATGCTAAACACAGTAAAAGAAACGGGCCTCATTCCCCTGACTCCGAAAGAGCCTCCAATTTCGTAGCGTTGGGTAGGACGAGTGCGGAGAGGGCGCTAAAATCTCATGGTCAATGAGAGCTGCCTGGATTTCAAAGAACTATGGTGACGATCTGTAGCTACAACACACGTACACTTGCATCCGAGTCCTCGATAGAAGACTTGCTCATGCAAGCAAGAAGGTTGAGGTACAACGTCATCGGCCTGGCCGAGACGAGACGATGCCACCCATTCAACGCCATCTATGACGCCAAAAAAAAACTGTTCCTTGGAACGTGCGGCACTAGAGGAGTCGGGGGCGTCGGCGTTTCCGTCAACACGAGTTTGTTTATGAACATCGATTCATTAGAACAACTAACAACAAGAATCGGACGTTTACGACTAAAAGGATGCGGATCAATACCGGCTTTGACAATCTTTGTCGTTTACCCGCCGACATCTAACTACGATGAAGAAGAAGTCGAAGCATTCTATATGGACTTGGAGAAGTTCTACAGAGAAGACCACACGTCCTTCAAGGCCATTATTGGAGATTTCAACGCCAGGATTAGACCAAGGAGAATGTCTGAAGAACGTCACATTGGGACCCATGGATTAATGGACAGTGTGAGCAGCTATTTGAGTTTATCATGGCGACTAAGACCATCCATGATAACTCGCAATTCCAGAAGCCACATCCTCAACTCTGGGTGTGGGAGTTTCCCAATGGAGGCTACCATAACGAAATAAACCATATGGTATTAAATAGAAGGTTTTGCCTAATCGACATCGCTGTTGTCTCAAAATTCTACATGGGATCAGACCATCGTCTCCTTCGTGCAGTATTCTATTCCTCGCGGAAAGGGGGAAAAGCTGCTAAATTGAAAAGCCGAAGTCTCAGAACCACCGTAAACTGGGAGTTATTCAATCCATTAGTCTGCTGTTGGGAAGATGCTGTTATCGATAACATCGACGAGGAATTCGATTGGCCTATTCAACATCTTTACGCTGGCGCTATGAAAGCTCAGTGTTCGAGTCACCGAGACACGTCTGTCTCCAGAAGCACTCGAGCTGATACGCCAGCGTGGAATCGCATGAGCTACAAACAATCAACAACTCACGTCTGAACTTGCAAAACAATGCAGACAGGCGATAAAAGAAGATCTTAAAGAGGGAGAAACAGCAGTAATGGTCGAAGCTGTAGAGGCTGGGAAAAGTATTCGCAAAGCCCACCGAAGTTTCGCCAATTACATGACGAAGAAGATTACACTCCGAAGCCCAGACGAAACCGTTACAGCGTCCAGAAAGGAAATGGAGAAAATCATTCACGAAAACTACTCAAATCTCTTCGATAGCCACGTTCACCTTCCGTTATGTGAAATAGAAGAGGGTGGATATGTTGTACCACCGGTTCTCTCTTTTGAAATCCGACGTGCCATTTCGTCGGTGAAAAATCGAACAGCACCAGGTCCGGACAGGATAAGACCGAAACACCTGAAGAACCTTCCGCCAGTCTTCGTAAACACACTGGCTCGGCTCTTCAAACGTTATCTGTCTGAATGCAAGGTCCCTACTCTTCGGAAGACCAGCAAGACCGCGTTATTGTTCAAGAAGGGTGACCTGCACGATATCGGCAACTATCGCCCAATCTGCTTGCTGTCTGTCTTCTGCAAACTTTTCACTTGAGTCATTCTAAACATGATTGACAGAACACTGGACGAAGGACAGCCATGTGAGCAAGCAGGCTTTCGTGAAGGATTTAATACGATGGACCACATCCACACGATAACAAGGCTCATTGAAGGATCGCGAGAGTAAGAAAGATCGCTCTGTCTCACTTTCATCGATTTACAGAAGGCTTTTGATTCAATCGAGATAGAAGCAGTCTTAGAAGCCCTTGATTATCAAGGAGTCCCTATTCAGTACATAAAAAAAATTACTTGATCAATGCCGAGGTTAATAGAAAGTCGGTCGTGTCAGTACATAAAGATTCTTCGTGAGCTGTACAAAAATTTTACAATCAAGATATCACGATTCTACAACAATGTTAAAATTGACGTCAAAAGAGGAGTTAGGCAAGGCGATACCATCTCGTCAAAATTATTTACCTCCACCCTCCAGAACGTTATGCGAACACTGGAATGGGATAATATGGAAGTGAAAATCGATGGTCGGCGGTTACGTCATCTTCGCTTTGCTGATGTCATCGTTCTTATAACACTAAACGTTAGCCGACTGGAACGTATGCCGACATTGGTGAGGCCTGTGGAAAGATTGGTCTTCAGCTAAATCTCACAGAAACGATGTTAATGCGGAACGGATTGCTTTTGTATGCACCACTACCGCTTAACGGAACGAATATCTCCAGTTGCATCTATCTAGGTCGGGAAATCCATGTAATAAACGATTTAGCTCCAGAGCTGAGCAGAAGGAAACGAGCGACTTAGGGAGCTTTCAACAGCATGGAGGATGTAGTGAAGAGAACAAAGAACACCCAACTCCGTGCCTACCTTTTCGACTCAACGGTACTTTCTGCCCTGACGTATGCGTCAGAAACCTGGTCGATGCGTAAGCAGGATGAAAGATCACTCAGCGTTATCGAACTCGCAGTCGAAAGGAGGAAGCTAAGAGTATCACGTTCCGCACAAGGCATGGGATCCGAGCTCCGATCTGCGTCAACGATCAAAAATCAAAGATGCCGTTCTGTACGCCAAACAGTCGAAGATAAGGTGTGCCGGACACGTAATGCGTATGAATGACAACCGTTGGGCATGAGCCGTTAGTGACTAGATTTCCCGGGGTGTCAAACGTACTGCAGGAAGACCACCGACCCGATGGTCAGAATTCTTCACGAAAAGCCTGGAAGAAAGATGTGATGGTCAACGAGTTCTTTATGCAGGCGGAACCCACTGGGCTACTCTAACACCCGACAGGGAAAAATGGAAGATTTACTGGAGCCCGCTCGAGTCACTCGCGAATCAACGGGACTACAGGTGATTCGGGTGCTTATTATTATAAAAAAGCGCATTGGGCCGCAAGGTCACTTCACTTGTACGGTGTTCGACCCCACTCAGTGTGGCCTCGAAAGTCCATATTCCGATAAGTAACTGGTATGTGTACTCCATTGAATGCCTTGGCGCCAACACGTTAGCCACAAAAACAATGTGCAAAAGTTTGCATAATCTTATCATCCTATCAAATTGCGAGGGGGTTTTCAACCGTAGTTGTTCCGTTATGCAGAAGAATTCCTTGACGGTTAAGGTGTCGTGCTACGTGCCGCCTACCTAAGGGACAGAGAGTGTGATGAACGTCGACTGAAAGCGACCACGAAATTTCAGTGAGGCTTTGGATGATTCAAGTTTTGTTCATTGCTCTATCACCATGCTCTTTTACACGACCCGTCATCATATCTACTTTGCGGATCCAGTACTTCTTCTTGCATTCGTTCCGATTTTCTTGTATTCATCACTCAGAAAAGTCGTCGAATATTTCGCATGTTGTTTTTGCTGTTGGATTAAGATTTGTTCTTTTTTTTTATCACTGTAATAAAATAGAATGCTGGTCGAGTCGATTCTTTTTGGGAGATACCCTGAGTAAGACGTTTCTACGTTGAAGAATTGGAGGAGATCCTTTGGGAAGTGGATGGTTCATCACATCTGCTACGCCATTAATCGAAATGTTGCTTGCTAGTACAAACAAATTCTACGGAAGCGGGAGGAGGCAAGGGTTGTAGCCATGAGTATTCTGATGTCAAGAACAGTAAGCGTGTACGGCACTTCTTTGAGCATCATACTATTAGGTCTAACGTGAGATAAGAACGAATAGAGAATTTATTGGTGCCAGCTCAAGTTACCTATAACATTGTATTGGATAAGAAGGATAAAGCGTTCGGCCTTGATCAATCTCTGAGGGATGCGCCATGACTTAATCAAGCATCGTTCGAGGTGATTCTATGCATATCTGGCCTGCACTATAACTTGAGGTAACCTAACGATGGATAGGGTCATTGCTTCATCCTCGCAGAAACTCTAGTGCCAATTCACCGATTCTGGAGAAAGGAAATAATTGCTGAGCTCAGGGTGCGGGTGAAACCAACAACCACGTGTGCATTGCATGGTACTGTAACTATACTGCGCTACACCCGTCGCAGCAAGATTGTAAGCGGCAAAACAAAACTTTTTTAGTGTATTTGAGGGCGTATTACCAGTCTTTTCATTCGATCAGAGGTAAGACTGAGTGGAATCTAAGGGATGTCTAAGAGTAAAGGAGAGGACTTAGCAAAGAAGCGATGGATGCTAATAATTTCCTGATTTCTTGCAGCCCCAGCCGTTTTCCATCTACGTTTGGGCCTATGGTGCCGCAGTTACAGCTGCATGCTCAATTTCAGCAGGTTCCGTTTGTTCTTCTTTCAACTGCTATTAGTTTATTAAGTTTCCTACATAAATATTAGGTGTAGGCTGAAGTGTAGTAGCAGTGTTTTGAATTGTGGTCAGATAATATCACTAAATAAGACGATTTCTAGAGGATGAGACCAGAACCGAAAAGGAAGAATAGATTTGTTTTCAAACGAAAGGTGCATCTATAAAAAAGATCAGGTGGAAGTTAATCCGGCACAAAGAATGATCTTTTCAAAATGTCAATAGTCCACTACGTCGTTGCAAGCTTGCAAATTAATCAAGATCGATGGTTCAACTTACGCTAGTGAAAATTTTTCCATCTCCTGCTCCCATGTAGACATGTGAGCATCTATTAAGAACAAACCTGCGCGTATTGTAAGATGAGGGCTCAGCTCACATGCGTGCTCGGATTTTAACCAATATTTTAGGAATAATAGATCATCACTCGTTTATTCTTCCTTATACCACGACGTACATAAAACTGGAGATCCCCTGACACGGAGCACTTCTGTAGACACCAGTAGTGGTGATGCTGCTCTGAGCAACCACTGTTCAACAGTTAACAAGTTTAATTTCATTTAACTATGAAGTATAGCATTTATGTTTTTTAATTCTATTTTATATGACTCGTCTTCACGTCTACCGTGCGGATTCCAGCACTTCTCACATTCGATTCGTTTCTCGCATCCATTGTCCACGAAAATCTTCCAACTTTTACGTGTGGCTTCGTTTACTCCTTGACAATTTCCATTTCATCTTGATTGCTCCTTGCAGTCCTAAGATAGCGGGGCTGGAGAGTTCCAATTATGTTGCAGAGAGTGATTTTTTTCCCAGACTAATACGGCGCCAATTTCCCGTCTCCACTGTGATGAGATGCTTGGTTGGCCCGGAGCGGAATCGAACTAGCACCATGCTCGTGATGACGGACATCACCACCACTGTGCTATCTGGCCCCTCATTCCACGCACTTATGTTCCATATTGAACCGCTTCCGTATTGATCGTACGCGGTGAAAGTTTGTTTCGTCTGTATATTGGAAAATTTAAGATTTTTGCCACAGAAGATGTTATTTATCGAGCATGACTTATTTATCGAGCGGTAGTAAAAAAAAGCAGAGGTTAACGAGAAAGAAATGTATAATGAATCAAAATTGTAAAAATTTAGGTTTGTTGTTTAGGTCTAACTTACCTAATCAAGCGGTCGAAATCGATGCCTTTGACCACACAAATCATCGTACAGGTATGTGTTTGATATTTCAGCAAATATGTTCCCAATGCTTAAATACCATATTCCATAACGCTTCAGTAAACAGATGGCGGTTCTGTTTGAAGCGTTTCGTCCCGCTTCCGGCCGTATCGTTGGCATCGTCAGTCAATGTGATCTGCATGCGGTGGAACGAACTCAGAACCGGCATTGAAGTCTACGAGAATGGTGGAAAAGTTGTCGGAGTGTCAAAAGTCGCTGCTAAGCAGGTTAGTCCGAACATCACTTTGTTGTCAAAGATTTCCTATAAACTGGAACGCAGATAGAGAAACAGACCGAACTACAAAGCTGCTTTATATTTACTTCTCGCATCATATCATATGTTAGTAATCTCTCCACGATATTGCAGGCTGTCACTAATACGACACTAGTTCGAGCATTTCTGCCTATTCCTCTGCTGCTATCACCGCCATGCATTATGCCCTTTCTGGAGAGGTTGAACCTGAAATTTAAAATTTTTTTCATGCAGACATTTACCATTCAATAGAAAAATTTGCTCTGACCTAAAACATACTATGCAATGAAATTTCGATTAGCAGCTGATATGGATTTATTCATACTTTCACATTGTCTGTGATGGTTGCATGAAATGCTTGATGTAATATATTTACCGATGACGTCGCAGCAACTGCGTCTTTTTCGGAACCTTAAATAATCCTGTTAGTATAAGTTTTCCTTATTCAGCAACAGTGGAGCACCAGGGTTCGGTCTTGTGCATAGAGCCTTTCAAGCCCTTTATCCCTCTGGGATCGCCAAATTGTTGTCGCCCTTGTCTGTGAGGATAAAATCACCGACTTGATAGTTCGATACGCTTGCGGAAGTTATTATCTAAGCCAGATATGCACTCAATCACCTGTACTATGCTACGAATGGAGCCAAGTGCATGGCACATCTCTGACAGTTTGATTAACGCCGAACAGTTAATCGATTTATCGTTCTATCCGTGAAACTAGGCACTCCATTGTTAGTTTGTTCTTCTGTGCTGTTTTAGTAGAAATCCAGGAAGAGCTATCCAGAGGACCAGCTTCTCGTTTCGAACTTGTCCTAAGGTGATGTCCATAGTGGTTTCTACTTTTTAAGTACTTTTTCTTCGAATGTTTCCTTGCCAGAAGGGGTAATGCTTCAAGCACTTGATTATTTTTTCGACGTGGAATTCGCTGTAATTACAAGCATATGGGAGGATTTTGGGCGCGTGTGGCCCAATGGTCGGAGACGCTCTGCAGCACACACGTGGAATCGGTCCCCTCGCCCATGGCCCACCAAGCCTTCCATCTCTCCGGGGTCTGCAAATTGGTACCAGATCTCAGGGTGATTGCTGATGGCGCTGATCGATGGAACTAGCTGAGAGACAGGCAAAACAAAAGCCGGCATGGTGCGGTGGTGAACACGTTACTACCCGGAAAGGACAATAGTGCGTTCGTTCTCCGCCATAGACACCTGCGGTCCAGAGTTTTGCAAACATCTTAGCAACGTTGTGGTTGTATTTCGCTTAATACCATGCCGTGAAATTTGTAGTGGTCAGAAAATAAAAGGTAAAACATTGTGATTTCAACTGCAGCCTCAGCTTAACTGGGTTCAATGCCGATGTAGGCTCCCCAGATCAATACCGATGGCGCTGATCGATGGAACTAGCTGAGAGACAGGCGAAACAAAGGACCCGCTTGGTGTGGTGGTGAACGCGTTACTCCCCGGAAAGGACAATAGTGCGTTCGTTCTTCACCGCAGACACCTGCGGTTCGGAGTTTTGCAAATATCTCGGCAACGTCGTGATAGGTATGACCGATGAACTTTGCATTTTTTGCTTCAATGAAGTATTCTTAAAAAACACTATAGAACATCGTACGCGGTCGTTGTTGAACAATTTAATTTGCCGGTTTGACAGAGATGGGAGCCTCGATTGTCGCTATATTGGGTCGAACCGGTGACCATGTGCACATTGCACAATATCTCTAACCACTGTACTACTTGCGCACTTATTTTAATGCATAAAATTGGTGTTTAGACCTTCGAAATCCAATCGTTCTTGATCAGTGTTTACTTAAAATGACTAGTTGCACTTTTAACGAGGTGTGAAAAAAACGAGCCTAAAGAACTCTACTGTTGGGGGCGGCTCGTTGATATAGGAATACCAAGTAGTTAAGACGATTCGCTCGAAATTTGTTGCTCGCCTTTGTGTACGCCACGCGGGACTTCTTGTAGGTAGCAGTCACAATACCGGAAACTCAAACTTGGGTAATTAAACCGTTTATCATAATTATACAACAATTATGGTATAACAATACAACTGTACAATTAATACAACAATGATACGGGCTGTGAGTAGGCGTAACCTGATCACTGGTGTTCAGGTTGCTTGTGACTGAAGAGATTGGGATAACGGTACAACTGTGTAATTAATGCAACGATGATATAGGTAATACAATAATGTGTGATATTTGGCGATATGTAAGCTGGGTGGATAAAAGCGGAATTGAAATGATAACAAGTGATACACTTGAAGGAATTAACGCGGACACTGGTGTTGGAGCACTAAGGAATTGAGGGACCGGAAGCAGACCGGTCGAACGCGGCTAAGATTTTAGGACCAGTCCTATGGGCTGCCTGTATTACATCTGAAGTGGGTGGAGCTTTGCTAGAGAGAACTGAAGGCGGCGTCCGGAGAGGGGTTTCATGTGGAATGGTGCAGGTGTCTGTTCGGAGACTTTTTTGGAACGACAGATGCTAAAAAGTGCATTCAGCTCACTGCTGCTGATTCCCTTTTCCAGCCACCTGCGAGGCAATTGCATGAAACGGTTGTTAAGAGATGATTTACCGAATGTGCAAGGATAGATGTATGACGATTACGAATAGATAGGTGTTGTAGAAGGCATAAGGTTATAATTGTTCTACATAGAGAACATTCCAATATTCGTGGAGAATGTTCTCTATATCTACTCTGTCGTCATTACAGTTCAAAACTTGTTTTTATACATTCGTAAACAATCTAGTGACTAGTGCTATGGTTAAAACGCTGATCTTGCTTTGCGATTCAAATTCCGAGATGTTCAGACTTAAATGGGTGAGTGGTTCCCCGGTCCGCCATTTATTCATCAATGCGGTCGTCTGCACATTGTCATTTGCCGCCAGTTTACCGGTTGCATTAGCGTTGTTCCCGCAGGAAGGCAGCGTAAGTTCTTCATCTGAAATGTCGATAACTTTCACTCTTAAAGGGTTTGATACATTGTAGATTCTTTTTCTAAAACTGCGAAAAAACAGAGACTAATATCAGAAGGTCCGACTTTCATTAAAACTCGTTAGTAATAATCCTTAATTTTCCTACTAACCTCATGGCATGCCGATTTCGGCTCATGTCGGGTCGGTTAGTTCGGTGGTACTGGTCTCCGTCATCACGAGCATGGTGCTAGTTCGATTACGCTCCTGGTCAACCAAATCTCTCATCTCTCCGAGGTCGTGAAATTGGTACCAGACTTGTCTGGGAAGAAGCCGCTCTCTGAAATCTAGTTGGGAACGCTCCAGCCCGGCTATCTCAGGACGAACTCCAGGAGGAATTGCTCGACCAGTATTCTGCGACATTCAAGATGGAATGAAAATCTTCAAGCAGCAACCGAAGTCACACGCATAAAGCTTGGAAGACCTTCGTGGACGTTGGATGCGAGAAACGAATCGAATGTGAGAAGTGCTGGGATCGTCACAGTGGACGTGAAGGCGGCTGAAATGAAATAAAATGAAAAGTACCTCATGTCAGTCCAATTGTTAAGGAAATTATTTAAAAAAAAACTAATAGCATAGCACAAAAGATTTCATGAAGCCAGGTACAATGGTAAAGCTCAAAAGCAGGATAGCCGCACATGTCCGGTCTGGTCACATGTAAGCCAACGTATCTGTCCAGGTATCAAACGTGTGATGAATACGATCCCTGTCAAGAAATGAAAGTAGAACAAGGCCATGCTTATTGCTTCAACACTTTTGTTGATGAATTTGAACAGGACAATACAGGTTCAACTGTTTGATCAGTATCCACACTATTTCTTAGTTCACTATTATGAGAAATTCTAAAAAACTGAAAAATCAGAATGTATTTCTGCTTTACTACGGTCTAACAGTTCTAAGTTCTAAGTCTCTTGTCTAACAATAAATTCTTGCCGCTATTTAACAGTTCGAATAGTCCACCAGCTGAACAAGTAAATTTTGTCGGATTTTTTGGAGAATAGGCTTGGGTGGCACCCCAGATAAGAATTTTGAGAATTTCGTTAACAGCGAAGTAATCCTGAGGCATAATGAAGCCTAAGAACGAGTCCACCATCGGGTTATAGCTGGTTCTCTAAAAACGCAAATTGTTATCTTTGCATTGGATTGGATGATTTGCAAGAGTTAGAGAGATACTTAATCTTTAAATTCGCTGGATATTCACTGCAATATATTAAACTTGTCGAAGTTTCTCTTTCAGATAGCAACTGAAGAAATCGAGGCGGAAATTAAATCAAAGACTCAAGCCGACCGACTCTTTTATAATAAAGGATTGTAGAAAAAAGCTTATCATCGTCTACATCATCTAAATCGCATATCTCTATGTTCCATTCTGGAAGGTCAAGTAGCCGCTTTCTAAGTCGCTTTGAGGGGACTCGTACACTGAGGCGATACGGCTACTCGAAACTACGATCGTACTTCGCCTTAACATAACCTATAACGCTTATCCACCTACTTTTCGTTTCTGTTAGTCACTCCATTGCTCTGGCAACAGTGTTAAAAGAAAATGCATCTGATAAACACAATGATTCCATCTTTGAGTTCAGTCCAACTGAATCATCCAATGAATATCATGTGATATTGTGGCCTAAATTTTATTCTATATTAAGAAGTTTCTATGTCGTTGATAATAAAACATTGGAAAGAGAACAGGGAGAAGACATCAACATGTCATGGATTGTGTTCTGTGTGTAAAGGATAGAAATCTACATTAATTGCCACTGTGTAAATGGGTCCGTCAGAAATTAACTAGACGATCAACTTATAACACCTTTTTTTTGCTAAACACAGAACAGCAAGATATCTGAATTTTTTCGAGAAGTCTCATTCATTTCAAAAAAGGTCACTTTGTTCAAATTGTAAATGTATATACAGATGTATCCAATGGAATACAAAATAATGAAAGAAGGCATTGTTGAGGAAAGCATATGATGTGAAGACGAAACACTTAAGCACTAGATTATTGGAAAATTGGTCTTGGACGTTAACCTATATTTCAAGGTGGGATATCTTAGCTCATAATAAAATTTACTGGTCGAAATACCGGCCATTGTAGTCTGCGAGTTTTTTTCAACAAGCTGCAAGCTTATTTATACCAGTTGCTTTAAACTCTGGAATTCTGGAGGCTACGAGGTCGTTGAACGTAGTTTCTGCCACTACTTGATTCTTGAAGCATTTCTTGCGCAGAAAGTCATCAAGGTGCTTGAAGAATTGCAGGAATAGACGAGTGGTCTCGTGAATACAGTGGACGAGGGAAAGTTTTGTAGCACAGCTTGTCCAACTTTTGCAGGAACGGTGGTGTAACGTGTGGCTGCGAGTTATCGTTCAAAAGGATTGGTCCCTTCCTGTTAACCAACGACAGCCATTCAGATTTCCGGTGCACTTTGCCAATTTGAAAGGTTACGGAAGTTCATCTCAATCCAACCATTGAATCGATCGTCGCCAGTTGTTGCAGAAGATTCATTGAATTTTCGCACACCACAGTGTGGTTGAGAAATGCGTCGTTCCTGTTGCACATAGGAACGACCACGATACCTCAAATTGGAGACTTCTTTGGTTGTCACTCAATTCGTGCAACGTTTATTTGACGGGCCACTTCAGCATTGTAATCTCCCTTAAAATCACGGAAACTGTTGAGAAGCCTACATTAAGTTCTGCAAGTCCCGAAGAGTGGCGCATGTATTTCCTTCCATCAAAGCTTTCAATTTATAGTCGTCAATACCAGAAGGACGTCTGCGACCTACTTCATCTTCGAGATGGAATTTACCAGGGGAAAATTTTCGAACTGAACGCTGGACTGCGCGTTCGTTAACACTTTCTTGGACCATAACCTCATTAACTTTTCGAGCCCTTTGGGCATGAATTTCTTAGTAGTTTTTTCGACGATGCGGTTTTCACATCTGAAATTCTGATTTTCGAAATTTGGTGTGGATAGTTCGAAATTTATATTACAATTTAATATTTTTTTATTTTTAATTATTTTAATGTTTTATTAAACTTTAACAAGTTTTACAAAGAAAATTTATATTACGATTTAACCTCAATTTTTTTTCATTTCTTAAAAACTTGATTTAAGTGTTTACTTTTTATTTACGACGAATTTCGAATTTTTTTATATTTACGAATTTTCACGACGGGGTATTATGCGAAATCAACCACAACGATGCTGAGATATTCGCAAAGCCTGGACCCAGGGCCAGAACTAAACACGATTTTCCTTTCCGGGGGTTCGCGTATCACACGCTAAACTACTAAGCCTCCTACTTTGCGTTTGAAAATCATCACGCCGTGAACATTGTAGTAGGTAGCAAATAAAAAAGTAAACACTGTGATTTCGACTGCAGCCTTGGCTAAACTGGGTTCAATGCCGATGTAGGAAACCCAGATCAATCCCGTTGACGGGTAATTGCAAATGGCACTGGTAGATATAAAACTAGCTGAGAGGAATGCAAAGGAGCTCAGTGGTGCAATGTGTAATGCGCGAGTCCCAGAAAGAGAAATCGTGGTACGATCTGAAGTGGAGTCCAAGTTTTGCGAATGTTCTGATTTAATTTGGTTATAAGAAGCGAAAGTGCATTAAAGCAGCTTTGGAATGGTTTTCAGGAGCAGAGCATTCGATAAAAGTTCTTGCTGAAACATATGCAGGGCAAATCAAGCTCTCCATCGCTCTGGTGTACCAGACATATCTAGGATAAAAAAACACTGAAATGATGTACCTTGTTGCAGTGATAAGCTGAGATCTCAACATTGCATTGACATATCGTTAGGCTCCTGGATCTCACTGCATAGGTCTGGTATGCATTCAACTACCTCTAATACGCTGCGAATGGAGACGGATGCATGATGCATCTTTAGAGCGTTGATGAACACAAAACGATTTATTTTTCGTCTCTTACTGTATAAATTTCAAATCATTTTTATGATGGAGAAAGGAATGAGGATTATTGTGGATTGTCCGCCCGTATTCAGTAAACAGAACAGAATTTCGAAGAGACCGTGTGGAACGGTTAAGCAAGAAAAAAGACCACTTGGACTAAGCAACACTCATAATTCCACTCAAAGGTTAAAGTTGACAACTTATACCAGTATTCATTAGAAAAAGCAACCGACAAGTGAAGAATGAGAAGAATGGTTGTGGAACCATGAAGCAAATCTTCGTACTAATTGATACCAGACGCTTCAAAATCATAAATAACTTACATCAAAGCATCTGTCAATCCCATTCCGATTCATGTACACATTTTTTATTTATACTGTATGCCTATACACGTATGAGGATCGCATGTAGCCGAGTGGTAAGAGGTGCAATACACATGGGGTCGATGCCACGCAGCAGGCTCACCAAGCACTCCATCCATCTGGGGTTAGCAAATTGGTGCCAAACTTGTCTGGATGAATAGCAGCATGTACTTAATAAATTGGCAGGCCACAATGAGTCAGTATAGGCCGGCCAAAAATGCATTCAATCACCTCCAACGATACCTAATGAAATCGAATGCATGACGCTTCTCTCAGAGAGTGGTCAACGCCGACAGCATTAACCTTTTAGATTTATTGTATGACTCGTAGCTTTCTAATATTTCTACGCTGTTGTTTCACTTCCCATTCTAACTGCAAGTTAACCGGTTAGTTATAGCAGAAAAAAAGTTTAATCTCACAAATTTTCTAAAAACTGGAATTTGATTTGCTCATAATTGTATAGTCTGAGATAAATTCTAAGCCATGAGATGAGACATATCCAGGTGAACAAGTGGGAATCTCCTTGAAGTGACCTAGAGTTGACATTCTAGACACAGTTCAAGTGTTCACACTGCAGATCTTTCATAAATTTGTGCTTCTGCTGAACCTCTCTTTCAAGATGTTGATGATGTTAGGTATTTCATTTCACAATAACAACAATCGTGCGTCGTAGTTTAAAGTAATCAGGTTGAACCCACTGTTCAGCGAGCACTCTCTTTACAACTTGGCGGCTGTTCCATA